TTTATATATATACTTATTTATTTATTTAATTGGAATGTCAGTTTTATATATATACTTATTTATTTATTTAATTGGAATGTCAGTTTCTTTATGCATTTCCATTTTTTGTACAACAAGCAGTTTATGCAATGCAAGGTTATTTCATGAACACGGAGTACTGACCGAGTTTTCTTTTTTTTGATCCATTTTCTTATTGTTATTGAGCTCTTCAAGATGCAGAGGCCAATTGACCAACCTTCTTTGGAATGGTACTATCGCAAAAATGGCTAAATTGTTGATTTGGATCGACACTTATACATCTTTTGAATCGTTTACCTTATTATAGTGCAATCTTGAGTTTGTAAAAGATATCTCTCCCACAGACTTTAAAGAATAACCTTTCCATACCTCAGCTAGTTTCAAACCTTACGAAGTGGACCCAAATTCCACAACGATATTAATATCTAACTTATTATCGACGTTTATATTTACTGAAGAATAGGTTCTCATAGATATGAATTTAGATGACAAGGCCGTGAAATTTGAGACTATCCCAAATTTGAACTTTTTTTTTAAATAAGTGTGTAAATAAATGCAGTGCCGTTTACACCATCTGAACATGTTGCATCATTAATCGAAAATCCCCAGACATGCACTGCAAATATTTCATCTCAAAATTTATCCACTATATTTTATATATTCTGCGTGCACTATAAAATATTCAAATGCTCAAATCTTTGATTTCACGACGGAGTCTATCTTTCTAAGTAGTTGGGTTGAAAAATTGGTCATAAGCTTTAGTTGCTTAACACTGAGGCCCACTTCTTTGTGACAAAAGTATGCAGTCTTGCAGCCTATACAAGATCAAATTTTATTCTAAGGATAATATCGTATTATGTAGTGAGAAGTAGAATACTTTCAACACAATTCAAATACGAGTGAGCAATTGACATATTGGTTCATAACATGAAAGGAGGCAAGAAACCAATAACTGCATAAACTTTTTCAGTTTTGTATTGTCGATAGAAAAAGCAAAGCAGTGTAAGATTTCTCGCTCAAAAACTGCGTTTTTTAAAATTTATAGAATGATATCATGAACGCGAACAACAAATAATTGAGGAGATATTAAAATTCGAGATAATGACACCTTCAATATGCTGCCAACAAAGTTCTTCATGTAAAAATTTGGAAAGAGGTGCGCGGTGATAGATGCATTCAGGTGTTTTTTAAGTGGATATGTTCCAATTATGATTATGCAGGTCGCAGTTTTTTCATATCAGCTAACGATAGTAACGAGGAGCTAGAATAAACTCACCTGCAGGTGTATTTAATTTAGATAAAGGTTGATACAGAAAGAATACCTCTTGCTCTGAGAATAACTCCTGACTGATGTTCCCACCGCTTTGTTTATCAGTATGTTCTATACTCCGTGCATGACTGCTCTTTCTCATAGGCTGGGAATCAAAAGTATGAGTAGTACCAGAATCCTCAACACTTTTTAACAACGTCCAGTATATACCCCATTGTATGATCGTAGAGGCAACTGCAACCTTTTTGACAGGTTGTTCTTTCGGATTTTCACATTTCCACATCGCCAAATCTGAAGAGCTGAGAAGCATCCGTTTTCTGAGTGTTTCTGCCAACTTACTTAGTCGATGACATGGCTTATGGAAGGGCACTTCTTCGCTATCGTTTTTTCTGGACTGTAACGCTGTTGTTGAAGGAATGCTTTCTGCCAGAATTTCATCCCCAACATTTGCATCATCGGGCTCAACCTCATGGATTAGCAAATCCCCGATAGAATCGTTACCACAGACAGTTTCTGAATCATCAACATCATCATTATGCTCTCGAAAAATATCACTGTCGCTTTCCGAAGGCACCTGGGAATTAGATTTCTCAGATAACGGACGAGAACTAAATATACTGATGTCAGACAACCTTTCGTCGTCATCATTATCTTCAAATGAAGGAAATGTTTCTAAAAGAGTTGAAGAGGTATTAGAAAAGTGATTGCTTGCTGAAGAAAGAACCACCTCAAGAGGAGGCGAATCTGGGACTGTCGTCCAGTCACTATCTACATCATCATTTTCATCACAATTTGTACAAATTGAATCGCAGCTTGCAAATATGACTTTTGATTCCTTTTCAAATTCATTGTGAGTAGTAGTTGCAAAATGCGCTTTTAAATTTGAACTCCCTGCGGTTGAAGCCATGTCTTCGAATTGAAAAGACGGACTTGCATTTGATGATGTGTGTGATTTTTCCGAACATGATATCTCCGAGAAACTAGTAGCAGTCCGATTCCTAGAATATCTATGGCCAAGTAATTCTAGGTTTGTCAGGCTAGAGCATTCCAACGATACTGATTTTAACTTAGAATCCTTAAGAAAAGTAGATGAACACAATCCCGATCTTGTATGAGTATTATCAACAAGAATAGGCGACAGTGATCGCAGTTTTTCCGAATTTATTTCATCAATTTCAAAAGAATCGTCTTGCGACGTGCTGGGACAAGCTAACATCCACTGGTAACAAGTTTTTCTTTTCCTACATTCACGTTTCTTATGACCAGTTACCGCAAATTCAAATTCTCGCTGTTGATCTTTTTGTAAGCCCATATTAGATCTCCCATCATTTGTCAATCGCAGTCGCTGGATACCTGAACGTCGGTAAAAACTGAATTCTGGACAGCTCATGGATCTAAAAATAGATAGTAAGATCAATTCAAATCATGTTTATTGAAGCAAGAAAGTACGCAACTTCATTAAATTAAAACGCCCACTTATATAGACTAGAATTATCCACAATGAAAGCAGCAAATAAGAAGCAGATGCAGCTGTAACTGGACATTTCTTCATATACCGCAACTACCTGTATGAAAACATCTACCACGACTGCAACAGTTTAAGTTGGCTTAGTTATTTACACCTCTTAGAAACCCGAAGTTAAGAGAAATATCCTGAAGAGTACTTCTTAATCCAATAAACATTTCCCTGACTTCAGGAATAAATTACACAAATAATCTCACTTACAATCTTGCAGATCCTCCGATTTCCTAATTCCCAACAGAATCATTATAAGTAGAACTAGCATTCTTTACAGTGTGGAAAGAGGAAGTATCACACCTAGCCTAGGACCTTAGCCCCAACATTTCCTCAAATCTCTTAGTGCTCGGACAGTATTCCAGTTCAAAAATTGCATCAAAACTCTTGATTTACGTTCATATTACCTTATATGTTCGAACAAATAGATAACTAATATAAACTAGGCCAAACATCTAAACTACCTTTGTAAACTAATGCTGTGGATAAAAGTATAATCGCAGAGCTACTGCCTACGAAAATTAGTACTACTGGAATAGAAACTGTAGCCTACCGAAATCAACAGTATCCGAGCAAGTAAACAACTGGTCTAAAAAATTTTTATTCACTAAAAAATCCGACAAGAAGAATAATGAAAATGCCATTCACTGAAAAAATACCATTTCTTACATTTAACACAACAATTAAAACAGAAATGACGAGGAAAGAATGCATATGCGTTTATGTACGGATTAAAAGCTGTGAGTACATATTTTGTACAGTCAAGGAATCAATATCTTGTACTTTAAAAACGACTATCCAAATCAAAAAATTGTTCTTATGTTCTAAATTACGCACTGAACAACTATAATATTTTATGTGACAAGACGAAACCAAAAAAACTGATGAAAAATTACAAGAGAGTATGAAACAAATCAAAATTAGGTATCAGAATTCATTTTCATGTCGTAAATTCATAAAAAATGGCTTTTTTGCAATTACAAATATTAAAAACTGAGAACGCTAAACAGTGAAAATAAAAGATAAATTCATTTCGGACGACTAAATATTAATATCCTTCACTCACCCTTCTATCTTACTTCGATGGTTTCTTTCTGTTCTGCAAAAAAATCTTGAAACATTTTAAAGCTTATTTTACTATATTTTTTGGAAGCTTCTCCCGTGTTAACTGTTCATGCTAGTATTTCAGAAAAAAGGACCACTTATCAGCAATCTCTGTTCTCTTCATATACTTTTACCAAATAATAGGAACAATAATCAAGATCAAGATGATAAAAAAACTTTACTCACTTCAACTACTGGCCGAAGGCTTCTGGGTTGTATCTCCGTCCATATCATGGTGTTCAGAGGTGAAAGATTTCGGAGTATAATCGGTAACCTCTTTTTTTTTTAGCGCAAATGAACGCTTCTGTTTTTTATAAACCTGAATTGGTCGTTCAAAACCTGAAAATTGAATGTAGCATTCGACTTTCAGGATAAAAAATTAAAATAGACTTATGCATTAAAATCATGGTCCTTTTTTTAAGCTTCAATAATGAATGAGGAAGAACATGCAATTTCAGACCAGCATATTTTTGACCTATTTTTGAGTATGAAGATTTTATGTAAACTATCAAAAACTTATGACTAGCAAATAGATAACCTTTCGAACGTGCTTTAGGAGGATCAATATTTAAATAGAAATCAAAGCCAATATCATCAATCAAATATTTGTGGAATGCAGTAGGCATGAATTTGATTGTTTTATATGTCTCATTAATGTCTTTCTGAAAACAAACACATCTCAAAATTACTTTTGCTGACAAACTAAAATCATTGCTCAACATAAAGTCGCGTTTCTTGGACGTAGTAGTTCCATGAACGCCACATTCCGGCTTCTTGTTGCTTACCGTCAATCTTGCTCGTTTTTTATACGTCTCAAAATTCTGAGGCTCCAAAATGAATAATCCGCCAGGACGAAGATGTCGATAAACACGCTGGAAAAAGCGTCTGATTCCAGCATCTCCCCAATTCAAATGGATCCACTTTGTGATGCTTAATGCCATAATCACATCATATTCTTCCTTAACCTGAATGCAAACATCTCTTGAGAAGCACTCAAAATGAATACAATCAACTAACGAAATACATCAACAGTATATTGAATTTTATTATTTATGAAGCAGGTCAACAAAAAAATGGAACATACCATATCAAGCATTTCATCATTATCTAGTACATAATTTTCACATCGAAACCACACGTTGTCAGGAAATTTAGAAGAAAAATAAGGAGCTGGAGCTGAAATCGGCCCATAACGACGACCAAACGAGGTTGGAAAATTCCTAATCATCTGCAATTAGATTATGCAGCAAGTAAATCTTATACATGCGACACCTTTACTAGAAAACGCGTGCTCCACTGAATGATTCAAAACTTAGTTCCTCGGAAACTGTGTACTACCACTTCATATCATTTTGGTTCTCGTTTTTGATTGAAATAAACAGCATATCCATCGAAGAATTAAGAAAAGCTTATATTTGTTTCTTTCAAATAAATGATGACTAAAAAAAATCTTGACACTTCACAGTATTATACTTAATATTTCTCCCAGAGATACTTTTCACAGCTTTCTCACTGAATTAGGATTTGAGCAGAACAAAAATTCAAAAACATACAGGCCCATTTTTATCATACTGATGACGAATTTCCCTTCGAGCCAAACCAACTAAATGAGCGTCAATATCAATGCCGATGATATTTCTCGGTTGATATTCTTTAGCAATTAAAAGAGTCAAGTAACCGACATTGCAGCCGATATCTAGTACCGACTTTTTTTCGAACCATTCTTGTTTCAAAACATCCATGCGTGGATCACGACCGCTATTCATCTCAATACGATTTCCATAATATCGAAGATAATTACCATATCGGTACCTTTAAAATTTACAATCAACTTAAATTAAAATGATCAATTTGATAAAAGCAAAAAAAGTGCAAATATAAATTTAGCAAAATTACGAGAAAATCTTAATTCATATCAAGTTGTTATGATCAAAAATTCTTAAATCGCTTCGCCTGAATGATATTTAATTTGATGTTAAAAGTTTATATTCTCTACTACAAATAAAAGATTGGAGAAAGTTCCCAATCTCTTTGTGATCAACAACAGCAAGTTATGAAACTGCTTTGTTTTCCAAAAAGTGTTCATATGTCAATCAATTTTCATCAAATACAATTCAACAAAAAATACGAAAATTTTAAATCAGCTTTTCATACTTGGAACATCGACAGCAATGTTAATTTAATACCACTGCAAACCTGCGACGTCAAATACACATCTGAAACTATAGATTAGAGATCTCAATCATTCCACTAGTAAGATAATATGAAAAGATAACCTCTTCATACGATTCTCTTTTTTTTCAACTTTTTCCTTCTCCTCTGCAAATTTTTTATCATCTGATTTGAATGTTTGAATCGTTTCTGAGCTACCTTCATCCATTGCCGCTTCTGCTTCTAATTGTTGTTTTTCACTAGTTTCCGAAATTGTTCGTTCTTTTTTTTCCAATTTCCGATATCGTTTAGTTGAACTGCTACCATGTTTTCGCTTTAATTAACTTGAGTAAAGATGTACTAAAACAAGATATATTATCGATGTTGAAAGTTTGTGAGGAAAAAATAGATAATTGAAATATATATTAGTCTTGAGATCATAAATCCTCTATTTTAAGCACCAAACTTCCCCATGACAAATTTGTCTTAAAAATTAAAAATTACCACAACTGACAAAGATATCGGTGACACAACTGGATCTTCCTGCTTTTTCCCGTTTGAACCACCAGCAATGCTTCTGAAAATGCTCTCGCCATTGCCATCAATTTCTCGTTCTGATAGTTTGCTATAACGTCTTTTTCTGAAATAGATAGACAAATTATGATGAGGTCAATGTCTATTTTGAAAAAACAAGAGACGATGATTAAATTTAAAAAGAACTTAATATTTGATGGAATGTATATTACAAAACTAGATGCTCTTAAAAATTACTGTTCTATTATCATATGGTTTTCATTAAATAATGGACAAATTCAAAGCTCTCCTAAATCATTTCTTGTTGTCCTTCAAGTTTACACTATTTCAGTTCTAATACAACGTTATAAAAAAGTTTAATAATTTAGAATTGTGAAAAGGATAGTGATAAATAAGATTTGGAGAACACGCCTCCTAGCCCGATTTTTGTTGACATTCCTTAGATTTAGTGGGTCATGCATATTTTTTGGTATGATAATATCAATTGGTTTCATATTTTCTGCATCATCAACAGGCTTCACTGATTTCAGATTCAATGGATCTTTACTATTGCCACCGTGAAGAAACGGAAAATCATCAACAGTGCCAGACTGACCAAGTCTTCGTCGTTTATTCCAAAGACCGCTATCTACAAATAAAACTGAAATGTATTAATTCATTACTAGCGTAACAATAAAAAATTCGTGATATCAAAGATAGAGAAAACAAAAGTTAGCAGTCCAAATCTGTGCTCGATAAAAAATCTGATTCCAAGTTTAATTGTTCCAAATCTGAACTATTTGTCATGACCTATTTGTTCTAGGAGTGGAATACAATTGCACACCAACTTGAAGTAGCAGTCAGTCCAAAAATATAAAGTAAACGCGAACTTAAAATGTCGAAATGAATAAAACGGGTTTTTACAACTGATATATTCATGACAACTCAAAAATGATGCTGAATTTCTGTACAGTATTATCTGAATTTATAGTGATGAGAAGCTCAACTAAAAGAACAAATAACCTCCACGTTCTCGACGCTTGAATCCTCGCCCACCTCGCCCTTCGCTTTTGTAATGCCCCCTTCCACGTCCACGATATATGTTACCAATAAGTTGCTCTTCTACATTCTCAGTTTGCACTTCAACATCAATACTTTTAGGCTGCTTAAACTCTAATATCTCAGATTTTTCTTCATTCATTTTTCTGAATCTTCGATAAATGTATCACAAATCCTGAGAAAATATTGGTTTTCAGCTCAATAAGTGATCTAGGTATGTCAAAAGAGTTATTCCGATTTACTTCGGTTGCAAAAATTGAATATCGTCAACTTCTTTTATCATTTCTCATTAGATAGCTGTTAATTTAATTAAAAAGCAAAAATTTTTGATCAGCAGTAGTAATTTTCCAATTTCTAATACTCACAAATTTAATCTAATAAAAAATGATAAATAGAGGCAAAAAGAGTGTCTAAAAGAAAGTTAAAATAGTCAATAATTTGCTGTTATGACGGTTGAAGGCTATCTAAAAGACAACAAGCAGTAGTCAGCAGTAAAGTAGGAGATCACATTCACATTTTATGATTATTGATTATAGTTTCGCTAAATTCAATAAAAATTTGAAGCAAGCAAAAATATCAGTCAATCCGAAAACTTTAAAATTACAAATATGTTAAGAAAAAGAGATTAAAAGACCCAAAAAATTTATTCCCAAGCGACAATACGCTCATTTACATCTACACTTATATAAATCATCAAAAAAAAAAACTCTAAAATTATCTTCTGATGATACTTTTGATGTAAAAGTTTCAAAAATTAGTCACTTCCAAACAAAAGCATTTTTCTTGAAAAATTTGGCACTTCTATGTGCAAGATTTGGAGTATTAAAAAAAAGTGAAGTGCGTGAAATTTAATTTAATTTTTCAAATAAATTTTACCAAACACTATCACTATCGTTACTGTTTGTGATAACAATGAAAGCAGAAAAAAAGCCTAAAAAAAAGAATACACAAACAGATGGATCCAGAAGAAATTTTAAAAATAAAATACGTGCAGTCTAAAAGAGCACAGCATCACCAAGCACAACTCTACCACTAGTAAGCCGAGCAGACTGACCGCAAACTACCCATAAATTTTAATGAAGCAGCTTTTTATGCATCTCAAATATGCAAAAAAGATAAACAAAACTACCTCATATTTTTCTTTATTCATTTCTCTAAATCACAGATGGTTAACTACTATGAAAATGAAGAAAAGACCGTTCGTTAACTACTGTAATCATAGAAAAAGCAAAAAAAGCTTCTACAGGGGATAATCAAATTATTGTAATATGCCATCATCAGTGACAATTTTTGCATCACTTGCACATGCACACACAGACACAGTACGTTACTCTACTTTCATAAGTTAAGCATCAAAAATTTTAATTCACTCTCTAGCTAGCATTTGATATTGAATAATCTAATACAAAAATTTTTCTGTCAACTGAATACAACCAGAATCCAGCCACGTAAGTACAAGTTAAAGTTGTCATCTCTTCATTCGAACATCCATCCATTTACTTACTATCTGTTCAACTTTATCTGCATGATTAGACTGAATAAATTATTCCTTGTCATAAATCATCTTCCAATAACGCTTCTAAATTGTTTGCAAACACGGAAACATCATCAGTTATAATGACAAATTATGTACTGTGACTTCTCTAGTACTTGTTTACTTTTTATCACTTTGCTCATCATATAAAATGTAACTTTTTCAAACTTTAACTGAGCAAAAAGTTTTTTCTTTCTGTTCTCGTCAAATATCAACTTAAAATTGCATGCTTCTAGATAAGTTAACAAGTAACCAATGTGAGCAATATTTTACTTACTAGTAGTCACCATGAAAGAATTTACGACCGTACTTCTTTGCTTTCATTTTTTTTATGTGCCTTAATACTATTTCAGCCCGACATCTTAATTGGAAAGAACAGAAAGATAGCAAAAAGATTAAAAATTCCCAGATCAATGCAAATATCAGACTTCATCACTGCTATCAGAACACGGTGAATTAGATCAAACTCGTGCTAGCACTTATTCTAGCACTAGGGTTGGTAACAACAAGAGTAATAGTAGTAGTAGTAACATTAGTAATAGTAGTAATAGGAGTAGTACATGGTTGTTAAGATGCTGCACGCAAAAATCAGCACGTTCAAAACTACGTATAGTACTAGTGCAACACTGGACGTGCTAGTCAAACACGCGTCCATAAATTCTCAAGACTGCGAAATTTCCCTAACTGACACACTACGTCTCACTCAAACCTCTCCATTTTTCGCGCAGGCAGTAAAATTGCCTGCTCGCAACTACAAGCTAGAAATATTCTATGCTAGTACCGAAATACATGCACATTTGGGAGAAGATGCAGACATACAGAGGAAAACAAGACCAGGAAAAAGATGGTCAACACATATACGTCCGTTATTGCAGCGCGCTTTAGCCTTTCTCTCTTTTCCTTTTTTATCCAGTCTAGCGCCATGTGCGTCACGTAAAACGCGTGTTGCGGCATGAGGAACTTTGTTAAATAAAGAACCTAAGGTACTGCCCGCAGTTAATGATGGATACTGTGAGGTGGAGAATTGTTTGCTGTCAGAATTGAAGTAATGCGCGAGTTGGAGTATACTTAGCGCTTGAAGATACGGACTCTTCCACGTCTAATATGATAAAATTACAAATTGTTAAAGTTGACGTACACAAGGTCTGTTTTTAAAAGACTCTTTGCTAAGTCAGACAGTCTCATTAGGGTAGTTTTGTGTGTGGCTGGCAGTTCGTCTACCTGTTATCTTTGATTTTTTATCTTGCATATACCTTTTAAAAGTATGGCTACAAGCGATATTTTATTAGTGTAATATGCTTGATGAAAAATGCTAACGAAGATGCTGTGACAATGTGATGTAAACGTGAGAATAGTTGCTTGATTAACAGCAGCAGGAGACTTTTACTAGCGAAATGTTGTAGCAAGTGTTATGCAAATGAGAAAGAAGCAACTGGGATGAGTGCATATCTGTGCCTCACATATCTCACTGAATTGAGCTAATGCGCAGTATAAACCCCTAACCATGTGAATTTTACGTCTGTTTATAACCGTCGAGTTGTCATTGCAGTAAGTATCGATTTTCAGCTGCATTTGTTACGTGTATTCTCGGAGCGCATGTTTTTGAGATTAAAGAAGTTTGTTTCAGTAAAGCGCTCTTTTTTTGCGTTACAAGTTATCACGTGTTGAAATGTCTGATTGTTTGGGCTGAGTGATTAGGTGTTTGAGATATGTCCTCCAATTTGTTCTCATTTCTCTGGATTTTCAAGTCTATCACATTTATTAAGCGTAAGCAACATGTTATACTTTCCTTTTTCTATTTAGTCTTAACTTAAGTCGTTGCTTGTTACTTTAAGACTTTTTACCATTTTTAAACCTTTGCTCAGTGAAGATGTCGTTTGCAGACGAAGAGAACAAAGTGTTGCTAACCAAAGTGTGCAGACTTGGATAACTAATGACGATCCTGTCAGTAGTTGGAGGCAAAGGATCTGGCCCTATTGAAGCTGAAGAACCAGAAAGAACGTCGAAATCTATATATGTTGGTCTTTCATTATAGAAACATTCATTCTGAATAAAAAATAGAAATAGTCTTACTATTGTCAATTTCACTTAAAGGAATAGAAATATGTCTTGCGATTAAGATGGTTCATTTTCATAGGACTCATTAGTTTCTTATTAAAAGCATATTGCTCAGAACGCTCTCACAGCAGAAGAATTGGTTTTTTTCAATGAAGTGAAGAATTTCTTGGGAAATAGTGTGAATGAGCAAATACTTGTACAAGCCATCAAGGTTTGCTTCAGATCATGATTTCATTCATTTTTTTTCTTTTATATTGAAGTTGCCCAAATAATAAAGTACCCCACTTCTACGGTTTCCCATCTTTTCTTTAAATCATCTATTGTTCGAGGCGAGTAGTATTGTTGCTGTTTATGATCTTATTTGATCTGAATATTTTCCATAACTGAATTTAGTCATAGTTGGAATATATTTTCACCTAAGGTAATGTGAAAAGATTAAATGCTTAAATGGTTATCACTTTAGAGCCATGGATCTCAAACACAGTCTCATTCAAGTGGAAGTAATGTATTAAATGATGTTATCAGCATTTACTTCGATCGCATGGAATCCGTTGAGAAACCAACTAAACAAGTCCGATTTGATGAGGTTACAATTGCTTATAAAGCTTTTATTTGCTTATTAGTTTATAAACTGTCATCAGTTTTTTTATCTTTCTATTTTGGATTACTGGCATTGAATGTTTGTAAGGGCTGTACTTCAGCTAAATTGAGAAATTTTGACATATTTCAGTTAATCTTTTATTTAGCATTTGGATGTATTATCTCCAGCACCATCCATGAGTCGTCCTTACTCATTTAATACTCGTGGCACAGCAATGGAAGGATCAAAAGAAGTAATTGATCTCACATCTGATGAAGACAAAAGTGTTAATAAGTGGAGCACTATACCACGAAGCGTATTAGGAAATCGAGAAGAACAAGATGTCATTAAGTATAGTGCTTAATTTATTGTCATGATTCTTTTTTAACCGTCATTATTTGTTCTTTGTATTGTAATAGAATTAATTAGTTAGTAATAGTCTTGTTAAATCTGTCTATTAAACCTTGTTGTTTTATTGAGCAGAGCATGTGTTTAGCATATCCACCATCATTGGTGTGAAATGTGTTCTCATAAAAATGGTTATTAACCTTGTAGAAAAGTTCACAATTTTTTTATTCCTCCAGGGCTATCGAGGAGTCTTTGAAAGACAATCAGAATATCGTAGGATATTCATCGTTCATTCCAAAAGATCCAGATAATCCTCATGAAAGGCGGAGAGATGGATTTTCACCTGTAGGACTAAAAAATATTGGTAACACTTGTTGGTTCAATGTTATTGTGCAGGTTAGTGTTCACTTAAAAACGTCAGATTTTCATACTCTGTATTGCAACGCGAACTGTTTTGACATGTACCAATTTTCGGCACGACTTGTAGACATGGAAGTACTGTAATAGTGACATTATTTTTTGAAGGATATTTCGAAAATCTCTCTCTTTTACATCGTATAATAATATTTCAGACTCTGTACCACATACCATATTTTCGTCAGATGTTGTTTGATGCAAGCAACAAAAGTAAAGTAGGATTGGTTCTAGAGAAAACAGATACATGGGAAAATGAGTCTAGTTCTGTTAACGAGGTATTCTTATTATAATGTTGACTGCTTCATCACTTTTCTTTTGTATAAATCTTCGTCATTATTCGTACTTTAAGCGAAAATCTTGAGCGTGAACTTGATTGAACTTATTAAACTATTCGTACATATTTATTGAATCATTCAAGTTAGTGGTTTTGAAAGCACAGTCAGCATGACAGTGATAGAAACTAGTCGTGGATATGTTAGCTGTGATTTCTTAATTCTTTTTCAGCTAAACAGAAGTGCGTTGACAACTTCACTGTTATTATCTTTTCGTAAGCTTGCTGCCTGTCTTAAAGCTTCATCACGAGCCTATGTTGATCCAACAGACGTGCTGAAGATAATTAGTGAATTAAACACAAGTTTAAACAAAGCTGCTCCTTGCATAGGAATTCAACAGGTTTTCTAATTGTGATTGTGCTCTGTTCTTTTAGTCTATTAATATGAATGTACAAGTATTTTTATACTGCTGGTTTTAACAAAAATTATTAGGACGCTACTGAAATGCTTCTGCGATTAATTGAGTGGCTTGAATTGGCTTTTAAAGATCAGACATCGGAGCAGACATATTCTACTACACAGTCATTGCCTAGCATATCAAGTGAAGATGTAATGGATGTAAATGTAACTTTTTGGTTCTTTTTAGTTTTCACTGCTTCATCAACATCTATACATATTAATATGATATTTCTTATTGATTGCAATTAATATGGGACCAATAAAGGATGAAAACATGGCGCCAAGTGGTTCAAACTCAGAAGAACTCGTAGCGTCATCTCATGGGACATCTTGTAATAAATCAAATGATGCTGATCTCAGTTTGAATTCTGTCTCGGACCACCCTTTCAATGCACTTTTCTATGGCTCACACATTGAAATTAGACCTAATGCTGGTATGCATTTTGAATATGTCTATGAAAACGCAAAATCATACTGACTGTTATGTACTGATGTGCAATCTGTTTTGTTAATACTAATTCTAGTTTGCATCCACATCTGACAAATTTGGTTCGGTCAGTTGTCTGCGCTTCACTTATCATTCATGAATTATTTGTAGTTGGAATTTCGTCACCCTTAAAGTTAGGGAATGCGCTGCAAATGATCAATTTGGATGTCACATATGATAATTTGTACGATTCTTTGGAAGCTTATCATCTCTCTGATGCACCAGACAAAGAGGTTCTTCACTTTTGGTGTTACTTTTTTATAGTTAGAAATACTGAAAACTAATTTTTAGCTGTGGTTTGAGTCACTACCGCCTGTGATCATCTTTTCATTAGTTCGATTCAGCTATAAGAATGGTCAGACAGAAAAAATCCACAGTCAGTTCCAATTCCCTCGCGATTTGTATATGGATCGTTATTTGTATCGCAATCGTGTTTTTGTTAATGAAAAACGGTTTGAACGAAACTCTTTCAAGAAGCGTCTTGAGAGTATTACAACGGAATTAGAAAGGTTAATCATTTTAAACTCAAGATATTAAGATTTTTACGTAGCAGTCTGTATTAAATTGCTCGGTAGCAGTCAGCTACACTGTTGATAAATCTTTAGATTTAGTTAGTGCATTACTGATATTATCTTGACCTCAAAAAATTGTTGTTTCCTACAGTGTTTAATAAAAATTGTGTGGTTTGTAGATGGGAGAAGTTTCCAGCTGGTGACACAAAGGTGCCACTTCCATCGTTGATCGATGCTGTGGCGAAATACACATCATCGGCTACAAATGAGTTAGTTTCTTTGTTTGAGGTGTAAGAGTACTTATTTATTTGTGCTGTGTTTTGTTTTCGTCCAGAGTTAAAGCTATTAATTTATATCTGCACTACTTTTTGCTCTCTGACATTTTAAAGAGACAGAGCTAAGTCATAATGCAAGATTTCTGCATGCCTGTAACTTTTATTCAAAGTATGTAATTTTCTCGTTTCCTGTATGAACTGGATTTCTTATCAGTAATTTATAAAGTTTTCGTGTCATGCTGCTAATGCGCGTGAATTAAATCATAGCATTTGACTTCATTTCTTCAGTACCTGCATGTATTGAATTATTTCTACTGCTCCAATATATTTTTGACTTTAGTAATGTATTTGATGATTTCGACTCTTGTAAACAACAGCCGATGGAAGTTTGTGATGAGAATGCGTCGCATTCATTCATTGTAAATGAAATGCAAAATGCTAACAGTGGTGAGTTTTTGAGTACTCAACTTACTTTTTCACTAATATGAAAATATTGGCTAGCTTTAATTCTTTTGAAATCAAATTGATGTATTATCCAGCTCGAATGGTAAATTTTCATCTCAAATGTTTTTTTTTTCTCGTTGCTCTAAATTAAATCTCGCATCAGGATTGAATAGTAACAACGAAGAAAGTATACTGTCATATCCTCAACTTGATAAAAGCATTATACCAGTGGATGTTGATATTAATGCAGTGACGAGTTTCTTGCAATCTCTTTCTTCAAATGCTCAGGAAAAAATAAATGGTATTGATGTTTTTGGACATTTACTTTCATTCATTCGTAAACAGGTTAACGAGTACTCAGTTTTACTAAAGTCCTTTCAGAACTTCAAAAAGAAGCAGATGTGTTAAAACGTAAAATCGATTCTATTTTCGATATTGAAAGCATGAGGGAGGCTCGTTTTTTATAATTTGAATTTGATGTGTTTTCAGTTCATGTATGCATATTCCGTTTAATGTGTTTATTTAGAATTATATTTATACAATTTTTGCAGGAACCGTATCGTCTACACAGTGTAATTGTTCACGAAGGTGAAGCAAATGTCGGACATTATTGGGCGTATATAGCTAGTTCACCTCTATCCAGTGTTCAGAATAACGAAGTATCTTGGCGTAAATTTAATGATAAAAGTGTTGATCCTGCAACTTGGCAACAGATTGAAGAGGATTCATTTGGTTCGAGACGAGCTTGTTCAGCATACTGCTTAGTATACACAAGGAAGAAGTGCGAAGATTCGTTATATGGAGGACAACAAGGTAGTAATTATAAATTACCAAAAATTGCACCTTAATTCCAGTCGATCTTTTTGCGTAATAAATTTTGCTCGCAAGAAGATAGTGATTAAGCTGCGCTGTATGAAATTCAAGTTACCCAGAAAAATTATGTTGTGTGTAGCTATGGTTTGAAATATTTTGGAGAAGAATAAAATTTTGTATAAAATATGAAATTTCCAAAGCCTTTAAATCATGATCAAGCTAGAAGAAAGCTCAGTAGTACTAATTGATAAATGGTTAAAAATTTTTTTTTCAAAATTTAGACGTTGTGAATTACTTAGGCGTGGTTAGTTCTTCCTGCTTTCAGTAAGACATATTTTATTTGTTGCATGGTCTTTGCATGTAATTTTTTTTTTTGGCATTTGTCTTTAAATTTTTCACAAGAGAAACGTTCTTTCCAAACTCGCTGAATTTTCAGAGCAAAAGCAACCAGGACAGTTGTGCACTGGGTTGGTTGATGGTTTACCTTGTGACTTGAAAATCGAGGTCTCGACTGATAACGCTTGGTTTGATGCAGAAATCATGCGTTGGGACGCTGAACATAATGTTGAACTGGGACCAGAGAACAAAATTCTGAGCGATCCATCTAACGATGAGGTCTTTTTTAGATTATGAGCAAAAAACGAGCAAATTTCAATGTCTGCGGTAAAATTGCTTCTTCTAATCGCCTTGAATGAAGTAATTTCAGGAATTGCTGAGGGCTGTCTCTTTTAAGGGAGTTATTGACATCAATGGATTGAGCAGGCGACATTACGAACATGCGGCTCGATTTTTTGGATTGTTCATGATAAAGAGGTTTTGAAATTCTTTGGTTTGTGATATAAGACCTATTCTGATACAAGAAATTTTTCTCTAAAAAATTTGTAGTTGAATAAAGTTAACAATAATATAAAATTCTAAACATTATTTCATTGTTATACTGTCAATTTTTCATTCCAAGTTTTGAAAATAAAATGTGACAATCACATTTTTCATCAGATCTGGTCAACTTATGCATTTCATGATATCATTAAATGTATACTAGTGTGAAATAATTATTAAGCTGAGGATGGTTGAATCTATACTCTTTGGTCTTTATCTAATTCCATGTTGTTCGTTTATATATCTATATCAAAATACTTCATTATAGCGCTGTGAATGCACTGAGTTCGTATGATATCGACGATTTTTTAGAGTGTGAAGATACAGTATTCATCTTAGTACAAGAGGTAGGGTGTTCATGAAAAAGTAGTGTAACGTTTGATTTAATTTTTGTTGTGTAATCTTTTCTGATTTGCCGAAAAAATCAGCTATTTATTAAGCATATTTTTGATAATTAGTTTTGAATACTTATGTTTTTTGCTTTTGGAAACAGTAGTTTTAGTGTGTTTCAGCTGATTACACACTATATGACGCATTATGAGACAGCACTGAGAGTAACAAACGTATTATATAGTGACAGACTAATGTTCATGATTGATTGGGCATCAGTCTTTGGCATATCACTAAGTAATTCAGCCACAACAGTTTTCATTTTACGACTGCTCATGAACATGGATGGAATGTTAGTAAATATTTTAAATGATAGCGTCTGTGTGATATTTCTATATAAATTAAGCCATTTTTTACAACTCACTTTGGCTGATTTTTTGATTTTTGTGTTTTTTTTAAATGCATCTTACTATGAATTTTTTGCTTACAAATTTCAAATTTAGAAAATATTCGAAGCTCATTGAAGCGTGTGAAAAAGTCGCTGGAAAGGTTGTTACAGATGATCCATCTTCCGAACTCATCCTAAATGTAATTATATTCACTACATTAGGTTGAATTTCTCCTACTACATAGTATTGTTACATTTTTGATAAAGTTATATCATTTTCCGATGAGGGTACACGTTTTATTTAGAATGCACATGTGCTTTACGAAGCATTTTGCCAGATGATAGCTGTGATGAATGATATTTTGAAAAAACTCGATCACTGTTCAAGGTATTACAGTTTTTACTCAATGTGCGAAATTCTAATTTCTCATATTATTGAGGGAAGTAATTTAATAATCAACTGAGAAACCAAATATGTCTAGGTGATGCACATAATACTTACCTGCTGTGTCAGTTTCAAACTTTTATGAAAGATCTGAAGAAAAGAAGTAGTACACAAAACTAATTTCAGCTTGCGTAAACTGGACAGAATAGCTTCAGACATACAGCAAGCTCGTCTTCTTTGTGTATCGATACATTTGATGGATAGGATTAATATGTATGCCGCAAAAAAATCTTCTGATCCGGAGCTAGAGCAATTTTTTAATTTAGTGCATAATGGTCTTCTTATCATTTATGTTGTTGTAAGTTTTATATTTCTGGATTTTATATTTGCTACTCGTAAATGTCTGATAATATACTTTATTTCCATCTGAATATAAAATTGTGGAAATACTGGCATGTCAGAAGTACATATCGCAACTAGAACTTTCTTTTGTACCATTATGAACTTTCAGGGGATAAGTCGGTGTATCATTGATTACATGGAAAGTGAGTCAGATGATGTCATTTTGATTGACCACGACAATTTTATTGATAAGGAATATAAAGCAATGATTGTTCGATTACACAATATGAAAAATAGCGGCTCAGAAAGAGTGAGATTTTATAAAGAACATCCAGTTTCCTTCTTGTACGGATTGATATATTGTTTTTTAGATATGTGATGAATATGAGTATAATTTTTGACTTCGGGATTTTGAATGCGGAAGTATTTAAATGTTAATAGTATGAAGTTGTAGAGTATCCAGTATGTTATTTCCATCTGGAATCAGCTGTTATCGAATTCAAATGGTCTGAAAAGAGTGCCTTGGATTTATCAGGTTCTTTGACAAATTCTATTTTTTAAAATAGAGAAGCTGTAAGAACTACTTTCACTAGGGAACTACACAGTTAGACTTGAAAAGTTTTTTTTCTTTCCAAATGAGATATGATGCAAATATTCAATAATAAACAGAACATTCTGTATCAGTTAACACTGCACAAGATTTCTGCAACTCTCAGTTTCTGCTATTTTCATCTGCTTATGTGAAATTTGTAATTACTAACTTTATTAGTCAATAAAAGATCGAGTGTGTAGATCATACGAGCATATTTATTAATTGTAATGCCATAATTATAACGAAAGCTTTTTCTTCGTTCTAATTAACTACATTTCAGAAAATTGTGGATGCATCGGAACAAAAAACATCAACCATTATGCCTGCATCGAAACTGAATGTCAGGGCTGGAAATTCAGGATATGATCTATATTCAATGAAGGAAACAGCCCATTCAAAACTCGGCATTCGAAATGTCGAAGATTTAAATAAATTAGCTCTTAATGTAGTGCAAGGAAAATTCAACATTGCTAATGCCGAATGACGTAACATTTATAGATATTTTACTCTTTGCTTTAATTTAGTCATCAGTCTGTGAGGAATTCAAGCAAAATATATCTTTCCTGTTAATTCTGCTGCATGTTTGTTTCGGTATTGTGGTGTGCAGCGGTATCCGGAAGTGTCCTGAAGTGAGCTAGAAGTGGGGCAGTGATGCATGGATGCTTTTTTTTTTCGCATAATCGTTCGCTTTTTTTGAACAAACCGGCTGATATATCAAACTTACCTTCATTTAATTCATCCAATTAGTAAAATTGGGTCGTTCTGTTGTTAGTTAATGAGTTTCGTGTACTGGTTTCAATCTTATTTTGCATGTTAATTCTTCCCTATGGTGTACTTCATAGAATCGTCGTTATCCTGTGCTAATAACTGACGTCATAGAATGCGGGACACCATATTGAAAACGACATTGTAGATTTACTTGTACTGAAATGAACAACCATTATTTTACTTGTATTCCGGAACTATTTTTATTAATAATTTATGTGATTGTTATCCGCGGTATGTCGCTTCGTTCGTCTACCTTATGGCCTTTTATTTCACATGGTTTTTGCTGGTTCTGTTTCTTTAAGAATTGATTGACAAAAAAAAATACAACTTCAAATACTCGCGCACTGTCCATACAAATTTTTGGAAATTTAAAGGGTTCCGGAATCAATGAGATTAGGAGTGTCGACACGAAATGTTGCCAGAGTCTTGAAATTGATACCTGTTGACCTCAGTGAAGATCACATCTCATTTTTGTCATGTAATTTGTTCATGTGCTCTGCCTTTTATCTATGCATAAATTAGTGCTAGCTAAGCAAGTTTTCTGCTGAGGCAACATAAACAATTGCGGAACATATCTTGTTCAGAGCGGTTATTTTTCATTTATATTAACAGAAACAACGAAACAAATTTGCAGGGAAGCAGCACATGTCGGTACATTCATCTTTTGGGGTACTGCTAGGTCCGAACGGAATTTTTAGTGGCATGTTATTAGAAGTCAAAGGAGTAGTTAGTGCTTGCTGGGCGTAAGGGATCTGGTTATTTTTTACACATCCATTATAGTGGCACTGTAAGATATTTCGAAACATTACATATAATTAGCATTTCCTTACAGATAAGGGGGAAGAGTAAGATCAACATTTTGGTAAAGCATAGGAAGTGTTTCTAGAGTAGAATTAACCAAAACTATTGAAGTAAAGATTTCCGATCATTGGTTACAGACAATGACCCAGAAGTTTCTTGTTGAGTACTTCTGGTCTTTATTCGAAACGTCACATACGTATAGATAAGGCTTCCAATAACACTAATGTTGATACCAGCGAAATTATTCCACTCAAAGAAGTAGTCTCCTGATGAAAACATTCCTACATATGTTACGATTAAGTTCTGAAACATTAATGTGAGTTAGAAATCAGTAATAACTGCTAAGAAATGACAAATTGATTGAATAGTAAAACTATGGAGTTGAGATTGAGAGAGTTATTTTTCTAACCACTGAAATGCATAACACGCAAACTTGATTCAGGAATACTTTCATGAGATACTGTTTTTGCTTACTACTATTACATAATACCTGTGATGAAAACATACAGAACTACTAGTCTGATTTACGTTATTTTTTACACAAAATGACCTGAAATCCTTGAAATTTCAGAAACGCACAGCGCAGACTCACTTTAATTGGCCCAATACATGAAGTGGTAAGAGCGCTATTGTGATGCGTGCACAAGACAATCGAATAATTGAGTAAAAAACCACATACAAATGAAATTAATAACGAAACAACAACCAATGCACTCATTTTGCCTGCACTAACGTACTCATTAACCTGAAAATGGTTTATAGACCAAAAATCCTAAATAAAAGCAATTATTTTGGCCTTTATATGTGCTAGTTGATATAATTCAAATACCAGCAATTTATATAATTTGCAGAAAGCTGAAAACTTAAAGGGATCTTTTTATGCCATCCAAATATTCTTAATAAAGCTTGCCATAACAAGACTTATAAAGCGACCAATGAAATTATCATACTGAATAAAAAGTTTTGAGAAGGATTTTCATACCTTTCCGAATTCATCGTTCAACCATGCTAATATTATGACAGGAAGAACCATGAACAATGCGTTGTAATACAAAAGGCCATATTTTCCAAGTTCCTAAAACTGTCTTAAGAGAGCAGTATTTAGAAATGGTACGTACTCTAAATACTTGTAAATCATAAATATGACACGCAAACCTTATCATTAAGTTTTTTTTTCACGTAAACACCATTAGCAGCTGTACAAATGTCGTTAATCAAAATCATTAAATAACCCAAAGTGTCAAATGACAAATCAAACCTGCAAAATAAAAACAGCAATAAAAATTATCGAAACATTATCATATAAAAAATCTTGAGGAACCCTGTAAATATTGAAATATTCTAGAAAGCTATGGAAATCTCCAGAATGCATCCAAACATCCTTCTTATATTTTTAAAACTAACTCTTTGCTACAATTTTAGGTATACTTTCATGCTCTTAAAAGTTCTTAAATAATTCCAAAAATCCTTTAATTATAATGAAAGCTTTTTCGCCTTGAAAAATGTGATTATATTTTTGCATTAACACTTGAATTTAATAAATATTAACATAAAGGATATTTTTATAATTTTCTAGGATACTTTTTATGCACTAATTTTTTTAGTCAATTGATGATATTGGACGGTTCAATAGAATAAGAAAACAACTGTAGCAAAAGATGAAGTTATTTACTTCATCAATATAAAACATTGCTATGTAATTACACCAATACTAATAATTACTTCATGTTATTTTTTCCACAATAAACACAATGACTTTATAGAAACTAACGCACTTATTCATGGATAGTTTTTTCAAGGATTTCACCACCTAGTCTACAAATAACTGAGCGGTCACCTAAATAAATACCATATTTCAAGAATCACATAAACCTACAGAGCTGCAATCACAGATCCTAATATCATTAATCCGACAGAAAATTTTACGGCACATGGCGCTTTCACTCTGCAATTTCAAGTACTGAAATTTATTACATTTTAAATTTTTAGCCTTATTCCAAATAACAAAGCAAATATTTAAAAAAAAGATCTTAGCTTATTGAAGTACAACAGAGTCTGATGAACTTGACTACTTTACATATGAAGAAAGCGGATATTTTCGAGTATGTCTTGGGTAACCACGAAAGATAAGTGTTTTTTGGTAATTTTTTTAAGCGTTAAAAAATTAACAAATCAAACTAGATACCATGCAAACAAATGAATACTAACCCAAGAATGATGTACTCCATTACCATCGTCATTAAAATCGAAAATCTACGCAGTACAGTAAACATTGGAAGGCTAGAATAATGAAAAGTTGAAACTCAATACCTAAATCAAAAGTCAATAGGAGGAATTTTGAAATCCAAAAACATACCTTATTCGTTGTGTGCCACCTAATCCGGATATCAAATTCAACACATAAAGAAATGGCAAAGGTAAGATCTGAAAAGAATGTTTAGTACCCCATACTTATCATATTAAAAATTTAGAAAATACTCCACTATTTGTATTTCATATAATGAGGTGCAACTTTAAAAAGTTTTAATTATATTAACAACTCACGGTAATTATGTTATAAATAAGCTTTTAAACCTTTTTTGGAATAGATGAATTAAAAGGAGGAATTGTAACAACACCAAGACGGGATGCGAACCACAGTATTATAACCGTTGCTATCATTTGTCCTAGTCCCGCAACCAAAAATGATGGGAACCTTTAACAAAATACTTGCAAAGCTCAATAAAAGTTGCATTAATGTCTCAGGTGTTATTGTAAAAACAATTCGTCTATGCTTCTAATGCATTAGAAACAAACTTTAAATTGCTAAGTAGTATCTTGTTGACAAAAACAATAAGTACGGAACAAACGGCATAGGCTACAGCTGAACCAATTCGAAGCACAAGCGAAGATTCCATCACCGTCTGCTTGCCCTGTGAAATTTACGCCATTGTATCTTGTACGCTTACGTTCCTATATTTTTACAGTAATGACAAAAATTCATAAAACTTCTCAATTTAAGTCTTCTTCAGAATTTCTTGTGTATCAGACACTCTTTCATTGCCAAAAATACCTGCCCCCTTGCTGAACCAAAATGACCATGAAATGTACCACACATTTCTAAAATACATTATTGTACTTGGCAAATTATTAACTATAGAAAATACATGTGCAGAAATACACTTGGCCTATGTCATTTGATAAAGTAAAATGTGAAAATGTCAAATTATGTACAGAATGGCAGATGCAAAAATTTTATCGTCCTTAAAATATGCCAAGTGTATCAAATACTTGAACCCTACATTTCTCTTTACCGAATATAAGTACATGAGTAAAGCAAAATGCAACGAAAAAATTTAATGACTGAATTTAGGTTTTTCAAATTTTTTAACAAAATCGAAACGATCGCATTACTACTACTACTATATGAAATCATCAGATGGTTATTTTACTACAAAAACAAATAATTGTAAATATTCAAGTATGAAAAGCCGGGTTTTACCACAAATCTCTGAGTAATTATAAGTGAAACAACAATGCATTTACACAAATAAGAACTTAAAAAGGGACATAAAAATGAATCATTATTGAGATGTTGACAAAATTTTACAAATATTTCACAAGTAACCAACGACCACATGTTACGGACTGCTTTTAAGTAAGACTTTACGAAATGGAAATTAAATTAAATTGAAAAGAAAAAAAAAGTGTTAAAACCACTTGATCATTTCACTGGAGATGTTCGAAATGCAAAATTACGGCCTATATCCAAACTGAAAGACTATAAATAGGTACAAGTAAGATCTCGACATGAAGCACTGCTTAAGCAAATGTAAAAATAGTTGAAGATTCAATAATTTTTTAGATATATCTTACAATATAGACATATTTGCACAGTAAAAGGAAAAGTGGATTAACAAAATAAACTATTTTTTATTGTCAGAGGAAAGATAAAATTATATTTTAGTCTAGGGCTTTGTAATGACAAAACAAACGAAATGAATGAAAAGTACAAATATAAAATTTTCAACTCAGTACAAATTTTTATATTCAACAAGTCATGATCTTAAAACAGTTTGATTTCACTCAATACCATAAACAAGTGATTTTTCCAAGATAAAATGAAATTCATTGAGAGAACTAATTAGTTTTGATAGATAATTCAAATAATGAGGAGTTCGTAAAAAACATGGCTCCTCGTACATCTGTGACGTTATTGGAGTCCAAGCCATTAATGGTAACAAACCGGACAATATATGGTCCCTAAAAATAGGTTAGTTCTCTTCTGTTCCGCAAAATTCCTACATTCTTTCCTTGAAACCAAAAAGCTACATTAACAAAAAAAACTATGCTGATCGTAAAATGATATTATTCATGAAAACAATTTCTAACCGGACAGCAATTAAAATGAACAATTGAAATTTTCCATCTTTTCCCAAAAAAGTATTAGAAGAAATGCGACGAGCAAGACTGCATGCTTGAATGATAAGTGAATGCTGCTCTCGAGTTAATTTTTTTGCATCATCCAAATGTATAAGATCCCAAAACCAAATACACACCTTTTCTGAAATGTCTTAAACATAAATATTACGTTGAATTGTAAAATATGATTTCTTTCCTACTACATATAAACATTTTAAAACTCGCTTATAAAGCTTTAAAGGAGCTTGGAAACAATGTAGAAAACAACAAACTGTAAAAAACCAATTTTTCAGTTTTTCTAATTTAACGACTAAACTGAAGCTTTATTTCATAACATACCAATGTAATCCCATGGATAATGAGGACGGAAAAGGCGAGTGGACCAAATGGAATCCTGACGACCACACAAAAAAACAGAAACCATAACACTAACAAAACCTTTTCCTGGTGCACAAAGCAGCTGAGTTAATTCGCCATGACCATGAGCTTCTGAGTTCGTATAAAAATATTTCACTAAAGCATTTACCGCTTCTCCTAACTGATGCTGGATTTCTGTCAAACGTACCCCTGTAATAAAAAGCGCGAGTAATATATTACTTTGCTTATTTAGATGCTCACCAACTCACTAATGATGAATGAAAAATTCCTTTTTTGTATCAAATTAAATCACCCTCTTTTCCAATATACGCAGATTCACAAACTTTGTATTTGTGATACTGCGATAAATCATTTGTTCAAAAGTAACTTTTATTAATAAATTACTTGATGATCTATGACTGAAGTTTTCTGATCTACTAGTACTCGGAGAGCGAGACCGTGGCGCTGGAGTTCGATTTTTCAAGCTTATTTTTGGAATACGTTCCGAACAATTTTCATCAACTGAGACTTCATTGTGATCAGCCTGCAAAAATGGTAATACGAAAACAAGAAATCACTACTAAAAAAAAACTTTTTTCACAATGAATAATTTCATAGTAAAATCCTTCGATCTCATAAGTTTCAGGAAAGCAAGTAAAAAATGTAAGTTGATTTCCGGGATTAGTTTTTTTTTGTTCATCAAAATAAATTATATAAATTATTACTAGTGGTTGTCTTTCAGCAACAAGCAATCTTTCCAACGAATCATCATCGACCCCTTTACCGAACCAACGTCCGCAGCAGAAACGGTAGCTTTGCCCTGTTATTTCATTTCGCACTAACACCTAAATTATTTCTTTTGTATCCAGCTATATTCATTTAAGAAATTTTCAATTAAAAAAATTAATGATATAATCGAAGATTTTCCATTAAAAAACATAGCGGAAACGTCGAAATACTACGAAAACGAACATAGTCAAGAAACCATTTTGGAGTTGCTCCATTAGAAACATTCAAATCACCATGACCAACTCTTAATGTTGACAATATGCCAAGATTTCTATACTGAAAAAAAAAAACAATTTGGAATAGAAACTCGGAAATAAAACAAGACAAAAAAGATCGATCAACATCTTGAAAATTTTTATGAAACAAACTAAAGAATCTTTTTTCATCAGAAGCAAATAGTAATGAAATACTTACATCAAATGTGAAATCATTTGTACCCTGCTTCACTTCGATTGCTGCAGTTGAGCATAAAGATCCAGTAATAATAACCCATAAAGGCCATGGGATAGTTGGACGCGAATTCTGAGTTACTAATAACACATGATAGAGCATTTCTGGAAAAAAAAGGAAAAAAAATCACAAGATAGGATGGAACAAAGCTAGTGACTGTCAATCAGAATAGATGCCAACTAGATCGAACTTTTCACCTTTGTATTAAACATAGAAAATATTTTAAAAAGGATATATCATAATCATACTAGTATTTTTAAATGTATTGGTGAAACAATTAAATTCCGCTGCGTTTAGTGATAATACATGATACAAAAATTGTTCCTTTTCGTCATCACATCGAAGAAAAGCATAACGTTTGTAAAGTTGCCTGAAAGCATGTTAAGACCAAAATTAATTCTTAGCATGCAAAATATTATTCATTGATTTTAGATGACACTATGATAACTTTAACCATAATAATACAGCAATATTACGAACAAGCTTTAAATGTTCTACCAACATCTAAATTCATTTCATTTAAATTAAGCCTGCATCACGTATGTGCCCTTTATCTCTTTAATCTAGAACATATACCATGAATAATGACTATACGATACTGCTTCATTCCAAAATGTTCACTTTTCTGATGGTTTATTTTTCATCTAGTTTAGAGTAACAAACACTTTCATTAATCTGTTGACACAGTTTATATTAAAAATCTTCTATTATTAACTGTAAAAGACGGCTATTGGAAAGAATAGTTTTCAGATGCTTGTAAAGAAGCTTCCTTTCTAAAGCGAGTCGCACAAATGCCCGCGCATAACCAATATCAGTTTTGATATCCGTCATTCGTAAAACATTTCTGAAATGAATCAAACGTAAGCAGACAAAAAATAAACGAAAGATGACATTGACTTTACAGTTGAAAACATTAAATTTTCACATACTTCAAGTCATAAGCAATATGCATAGGCAAAGGCGAAAGAAACTGCCGCAAATCAGGACTGTTAGTTCTTGAACTACTTTTCTTATAAGGTGAATCAGTCAAATTTTCATTCACATTAACTTCACCTATATTCCAGTGAGGAGCAAGATCTGAAACTAATGTACTGTCTTAATTATTATTATTTTATTTGACAATCAAGAAATGACATCAATAAGCCAGCATAGCTAAAAATATTCAAAGCTTGAAATTTTGAGACTACGCAACTTGTGAGCGTAAGAAACACGTAAAGCTCTTTTCTTTTTCAATAATGATGTTTCGTGCATAAAGCGACCAGATTAAGTGAAAATTAAAACTTCTATTTCCTTTTAAAATTTAGTAAATTTCTGTACATGAAGTATTAAAATATTTGATCTTCCAAATTTTGAACGTGTCCTACTTTTTGTTAAGAAATAGAAATCTATAAACTCAAAATTACTGAATGAAGATAAAGGTGTTTATACCAAACTCTCAACTAAAGATTGAGCGAATCATGCAAGCATGCAAATGACGACGAAGGGGTATTGTCTATTGCAAGATAAACATAGTTGCAACACAACACAAGCAATGTTAAGGCTGGATAACCTATTCAAATTACAAAAAATTAATGCTAAGAGTTTCTTGCGATGGAATTAATTTTTTTTTAAAGGCAAACATGAAATAACCAGGAATGAACATTTGAAAAACCTTAAAGTATAGGAAACATTGCAGAACACATAAAAGTTATAGCTGTGAGCTTTTAATGTTAAGAATACACGTCGATATCGTCCTTTTCTTCTCCATAAAAAAAGTTGACAAACTAGAGTACATAAAAGATATCAAACGTGGATGAACTTACACAACAATTCCTTCATATCTTCACATCTTTTAAGAAATTTGAGCCTTCACATAAATATATAAGGAAAATTCAAATACTATACCGAAAATATAGTGAAAACAATTCGAAAACCTTAGTGTATGAAAATTGGCTGCATTTGAATGGAGCTATGTTCTCAAACCACCTGTCATTTGGAAAGTTGGCTGGTGGATGGAAAAATGTAAAAAATTCGACACATAAAAAATGAATTAATTCAAGAATAAGAAGTAAATGCACGAATTAGCGGTAGTGAAATATTAGTGAGTTAAACATAAATTAGCCAAAACGATTCAGTAATGTTGCAGTAGCTAATGGTCATAGTCGAATGTCATAAATAGAAATAAATGAAAACATAATACATTCTAGAAATTCTTACCATCGAAAGAATTAGCTTTATGCAGGATGGCTCCTTTTCTGAAAATCTTTTGTGATGATCTTGAATGTCTTAAAGGCCCCAAATTAGGCGACACATTCATAGTTCGAAAAGGTTCTTTCCAGTTTGTATATTCCATGTAGTTGTTTACATTGGAACTTAACTTATTACAAATGAAATTCGCTGCTCGAAGAATAGGAAGAGACCAAATGGTTGCATGAGGATCATCGATGCACTGCTGTTGGACATTTTTTGCAAGCTTAGGGCATGAATCATTGTTAATGGAGGTCACTATCTCTATATTTTCCTGCTGTTTGAACGTACCAGAATTTATCTCATCTATATCTACAACTAATTGTATGATATTGGTAGAAAAATCTTTCTGAAAATTTTGCTTAGTTATTACTTTCGACAAACATTACGCTATCTATTAAGATTCTGCGAAAACTTTCAAAAAAATAATGAATGTGAAGTACTAAAGAAAAACATCAGGGTTCGATAAACTGCAAGCAAGAAAAACATAAAACCGATGATGATTAACAATTTGTACAGATATTCAAGCACCAAGACAAGAACAGAGACATATGTTTGCAATCAAAAATTTTAAGAGTGATGAACACTAAAAAGTACGACTAATTATTACTGGTACAATTATTAAATTCAATTTTACTAATTCATTGCCAAAACTTATGAATAGTGCTATACTCTAAAAAGTTACTCTTCGAAATCTAGAAGTAAAAAAGAAAACAACACACAACTCACATCTGCCGAAAAATGTGTGAAAACTGAGATTTTAGAAGAGAAACATTGATAAAAATATTAAATATCCTTCACAATCTCAACATACCACAAGTTCACTATCGCTTTATGAGATGCTGAAATTATAATGTGATCAAATTTGCTAACAAATCAAAAAAAAGTATGAGTAATGTCGTGCATATACATTTAAAACATGGTTTCAACATGCATTTTAAATTCAAATACCACTATGAAAAGTCAAATTACAAAAGCCTCATTCACTGACGAAAGAGTATAAAAAATATTTCTTACGCTCAAATCGACGACGAAATAAAAGCCACGCAAATGCTATAAACTATTATTCCCAGTATATAATTCAATACAACACTTTCAAACTTATTTAGAAACTACTTACAAGACTTTTTAAAATCCCCAAAATGGAAAAATGCCAGCAAAAATTAGCTTTATTTAAAACAAGAGTTTAGGAATAACACAATTCACAAACGCCCCCACGGAAATTTTTATGCAGTAAACACTAAACTTATAGAGAACAGAAAAATGAAATTTAAATTACTAAATTTAGAATAAAAAATCTAGTAACAAATAAATATCTCTTTGAATTGTGACTCTCTATGAGTCATTTATATCACACCAACAATACTTATAGTTCTAATTGATAAACACACCTACCTGGAGTGAGTGCTGAGTTTCTACGCGTAGTACTCCGACAGAGTATTCCTAATTTCTCGACTTCTTGATGATTCAAAATATGAGCCCATAAGGATGATTTGCCCTGCACAATAATTTATTTGAAACAATGCCAACAATCCCAACTTATATTTAAAAATTTATTGTTGATTAATTTCTGGGAAAAATTCTCCTCCGCTCATTTAATAGTGAAAACTTCAGATAAAATAAAACACTAAAAGGCATAAGTTTAAGAAAATAACATTACTATAAAGAAAAATACTGCAAAATTGAGGATCCCTTAAACAACTGCATGAAGCTATTAAAAAGTCCTTTAATAAATAAAAAATACAAGCTCGAAAGTATGGCAAAAATTTTGAAATTTTCAAACCTGCTTTTTAATCAAACCGTGTGCCCAAATTCGTTCCAACAAATCGCAAAACGAAGCAACCAAAGTATTTTCTTCGAGACCATTCACAATGGCATCACTATGTCCAAGCTGCAATGCTTCCTTGCCCATTTTTTCGACAAGCATTCGCTTAGTTTTACCTGTAAACTAATAACATTTTAAAACCAGACCAAATAAATGGTCACTGTTAAAAAAAAAATTTCTAGAAGTAAATGCTTACCTTTGGTTTCCTTCAACAACTGTTCAACAAATTTCCAGTTTTGATGAGCTATTTGTTTTGGTGTGTCTGCTTTATACGATCCCTGCCTACTTGATGTGTTAGCACTGACGACAGTGTTCTGGAATGAATAAACTTATTCCGAGAATTCGTCAAAACTAAATCAAAAATGTTCAATAACAAAAAAGATGACCTCTAGCAACTTCGGTCGCAACCTTCGATGTCGCTGTTTCCAAGGTGATGGCATCGGACTTCTCACAACAGAACCTTCTAGAACAGCTTCATTAAGCTCAGGAAATGTTCCATCATATAATCTTGTTGACGTGCCTGGAAGCTCATGTGGAAGAGGTACAATATAATCAAGTGCTTCTTCACGTTTCGCTATAATTTCTTCTGAAAAACAGGAAGTAAGAATAATTTTAGCTGACACTGTTTGATGATAGCTACTGACAATTAGTTCACTACCTGCATTTAGTTTCGATTTTATAAAAATCAAATTTTTAGTGAACAATTCAATCGCATAAAAAATGTTTCATGTCATCCAGAGAACTTGTACGAATTAATTACAATTTCATTAACGAAATATGAGTTTAAAGACGTACAAAAAATGAAAACAATTCGGACACCTGAATCAAATGATAATGGCGCTTTTTCATAAGTTGGAGTGTGCACCATCTGGAGGCCGTATTTTGTACGTAAAGCTTGTATTCGAAAATCAAAAATCTGAAGATTTTCATCAGGTGTTTCCCATTGAGAAACGATTTTTGCATCAATGAACGATGTGAACATCTGAAAGACCCACAATGAGACATGTGCATTCCAAGACAAAATTGGAGCACTTTACAAAGCTGGTAGATGAACAATTTCTATGCACAAATTAATGACTGAATAAAAATTAGAAAATTTCATGAAAAATGTAAACTGCAATACCTGAGTTTCCAAAAATGCTGCTAAAAACGGTAAGTTACAATTCGGTTGATCAGAAAGAAACGCCGCTTTATCAAAATTTGCCACGGATTCTCGGCTAGCAAAATACGTCTCAAGGTCTTGACAAACACTATTAATAACAAAATGTTCGTAAGAATAGAAAAGCCATGCAAATCTATTGACGAAGACCTCACGAACTGCATTATTGACCTTCATATCCTAGAAATATCTTACGATTTTATGCAAGAAAAAAATTGATTATCAGAGAGAGAAAATTTCACAATTGCCCAATTTTTTTTCAGAAATCAGAAGATGAAAATAACATTATATCTACATGATCCTAAGAGTTTTGCTACAAGCAAACAAAAAATCAAGTAAAAAATAAATGGCCACAACCTTGAAATATTTTCTACAAACCGGTGAATTTGTGTATGAATCATTTGATTGTAGTTCTTTTTCAATACTTTCGAATGGAACAGTGACGCCTGCACGGCGAGCAATAGCAGTAACCCTGAAACTTTTAAACACAGTCTGATATTAAAAATATTTAAGATGACATTAGAATAATCATAACTGTGATGAAAATAAATCGCGATCGGAAAAAATGACTGCACCTAGCTAAGACTTCACTCTGTCTTAAAACATCATCAAGAGGAAGCGGAGGGAGATCTTTCCGTGAAATAGTTCGCCTGGAGAAATCATCCTCCTCCAGCATATTTACTAATGTTTCATCATCAAATGAACGAGACATCCGTTTCCTGCACCAATCGTCTCTGCTTTTAATACCAATTCGTCGTTTCACAATTTCGCCATCCACAATTATACTTTGCTCTTCACATCTGTATGACTACTCAATTATAGTTTGGTTGATATTCTTAATTGGTTCCACTTATTTTTAAAAGACACATCATTTTCATGAAAAAAATCTCAAACTAGGAACATCTAACATGGAAGTTTATGCTAGTAACTACTTAAAATTTCCATGGCATATAGAAACAATAATCGATATTACCTGGACACAACTAAATTAATGCACGTACCAACATGAAATGTAAAACAGTACCTAATAAGGACACTCGCAACCTCCCTCGCAAATTCTGCTCTGTCTGGAAAAGATGGTACATCTTCTGGCATACTTAGTTCACCAGAATCAACATTTAAAACACACATATTGCCCTAAACTCGATAAAGTTATGTAAAGGATCCCGAAAATTTCTTTTACTTCAATTTTTGGATGAAAATTTTAGAAAAACATGAAGCTTTAAGAAACTGAGTGTTTTATAAATGAATATTTCAAACCTGAAATACTTGTTCTGACAGTGTGTCATCGTAACACAAACCCATTACAAAAGGTACTGGGGCTTCCATAAATTTCAGTTGAGAGAGAGGTAATATTGGCACATATGCAAGCTGCCAGCGAAAAGGAAATGCCAGTGCACATAAACTCTCTGCTACCAACATTAAGCGATGCAAACCGAAAATGACACTGATTAATGAATAAGTCTACTGAAATTCAAAAACAATGATGAATGAGACAATTGTTTCCAATATTACACACTAAAAATTTCGACCAATACAAATAAATATAAAACTAACTTCTTGAGCACAAAATAATTTGATGTTCAAGAAGAAAGCAAGTGAAAAGACGAAGAAATTTATCAACAGTGAGCAAATTGAACAGTGAACCGATCGCGTAATCGAAAAAAGGTAGCTCATTAGGTCCTGGTCTTTGCAGAACGATGTCAATTTGGTCTAAACATAATTTTAAGGTACTACCTGGAGCAGGCAGTGGAACCTGAAAATATAATGATAAATTTGGTAATAGCGGAATCAATGAATTTCATGAAAACTGATTGTGGAAAATCAGTTTGACAGCGCAATGCTGCTATTAAATTGAAAAAAATGAAAACTTTAAAGTCTTCATAAAATGACAATTTTCTTACTTCATTTAAAATCCAATAGATATAGCTTTCCAAAGGGAGCTGAGGAGGCTGTATTTCCGAGGTGAAAACAGAATGAAGAGCTGTCAATAAACGTTCTCCAGCCGAAACAAATGGAATGCGACTAATGAGACAGATGCATTTAGCCATATATAGTCTAGAATTGCCAGAATCGTAGTACGAAGTTCGCTTTGCATGATTCTGTAAGTTAAAGAAAATGAACAAGACAGTGTTGGTAGATAGATGTTAAAATTTAGTGATTTATGTTTAACTATTAAAAGGAATCAAACCTTACGACTTTCCCGAGGGAGAGTGTGTGTACCACCAGATATGGTTCCAGGTGGCACATGGGTGCGCTCGATAGCTTTTTCACGAACTGTCAAGAACCGCACATGCTCTGTATGTAATTGTGACATTTGCTCACAAAGACCAATATCTTTTACTTCCTAAAATTTTTAAAATGATTTATACAGTTTGAATTCCAAAATAACAAGTTTCGACTAACAAAGATCCGCATTCTGTCTAATAATTTTTAATTACTTGATTAACAACGGATTCTATATTTCTATACTTCATTATTGTTACCTATGTAAACTGAATCAATTTTTTTTTAAAAAAAAAAGGGCATACAGCAAAAATATTTAATGAATGAATCTAATTATGGAAAAAGAAAAATCAACAAAATTGATGCCATATTTTTGAAAGTACTGGACCAATATCAACCTAGTGAAAAAATGTATTTTAAAATAGACTGAAAAACATCCCATACAATTGCTAGTCTCAAAATGTTCTACAGACGCAGGCCAGATGCAGGCCTGAAGTATACCAACACCATATCAGTTCTATATTCAATTACGATGCTAAAAAGACAATTTCTACTGGGGAATTCGAATTGGTGGCAATACGTAACAATTTCTGAACAGTTGTCAATTATCAATAACAACTATTAAAAAATGACTAATTCAATTCAAAAACTAACTTCATGATAAATAAGAGCACAACCATTTACGCGCGATCCATCTTCACGAATATTGGCAAATGTATGCACCGCTGGCAACGGAACATCATTTTGAGTATAAAATCTTAGACCTTTCGGCATACATAACTAAAAAAGATGTTTTCACACAACTTACTGCAATCTATTATAAACAGTAGTGATAGCATGAACATAATAAAAATATGAAACGTGATTATTCAGAAAAAATTGATTATTGTGCTTTTACCACAGTGCTTGATAACAAATAACTTATGAAGAGAACTATAATTTTCTGTAAAATTGAACTACGTTTAACTTATGAGTATTCTTACATCACTAATTTGAACTTAAATGTGTAGAATCAAACTGGCAGTTAGCAATGATATCGAGCTCTAACAATCTTATGAGAAACATATGGTTTTTGCAGCAGTATAAGGCTTAAAAATATCAATTGAGTTAGCTGAAGAGTGAAGTTTTGCTTTTTATATCAAAATTGTAAGTTAATAAAGTATACCGAGACTATTTCTGTAGGGAATAAATATGCGTTGCGTCGTTCAGGGAAATGGTACAAAACTGAAGCAACATAAGATCGTTCTAAAGGTGGAAAGTACAACAGCTCAGATGCATCAAAGCTTACTGCACTACCTACTTCCATCTGAAATGATATTGTTTGAAATAATATAATTTTAAAGTAAATATACTAAAAAGATGAAATCTAGTGCAATTTATGTATATTGTCAGGTGCAGCAGATCGAAGATTATCTTTTTTCTGTTTCTTGATTGTTGTGTCGGGTCATGTTACGACACTCTCGCTGTGTCCTACCGGCACTCAGTTTTGCTGATTCCGGTACACTGGTCGAGTGCTTTCCTATGTCCTTCATGAAGCTTTCTTCAATAACCTCACCTGTTTTCCATTTGTTTTCATTTATGATTCCAGGCTCGATTTTTTTCCGTTTATGCCTCATCTCCTGCTTTGTGATGCAACCGACTAGTTGCCGAATATATATTTGTATTATAAAGGAGGGAAATAAGCGATTTATATGCCTGTTTAGAAAGCAAGTTTAATTTGAGATAAAAGTTGAGAATGAACAAATCTGTGAAAACTTTGCTGAAAAAATTAATATCTGAATAAATACTTGTAATGATGTAGTAGTGTCATGACCAACAACCACGAAATAATCTACTAAAGTCAGATCACTTGTAGATGCTTCTGCCACTGTAGCTACTTCAGCAGATACATTTGACATCTTGATTCTTAACTGCTAATTCATAGAGTGAAACAATGAGTTAGCACCACCTTCTGCAATGTACTCATTTAAATATTCAACAGCTTTACCAGTCTAATTTTATAAATCGTATTTAGAACTCGTAAGTTACCACTAAACTAGAACCAGAACAGAATCAAATGATTACCAACAAACCACTGCGACTGAAACAAAATCTTCTAAAACCTGGCCAGTATTTTATCCACTGATGAGAGCAATTAAATAACAAAAAGGAGAAAATATTCTAGTCCATTTCTTATTAAGCGCCGAAAAATTACACCCTAAAATCAGAAACCTTTACTTAATGCTAAACTTTACTTCCTGCATTCAGAGCATGAAGTGTTTTTTCTTAATTATAGTACTAACACATAGCAACCGCGTTCTAATTTCTTCTCGCGAATTACCATAATCATGGATTTACGCATAACAGGTCAAAACATACAATTGGTACAGTTATACATTTCCTAATAACTACTGGCAGTTACCATCAAATCATGAAACTTCACAATGAAGCTATAGTATGCCACTATTCCTTTAAATTCACGAGTTCCAGGTTGTTTAACAAACAGAATTTTATGATTAAATGATAAAAACGTAGAGTAACATAAGATATGGTCACATACCATCTAGCTCCTTCCCGACCTTCATCAATAATCTTATACTGCGTAAAACCAACAAACTCTAGCCTTGTATTACATTAAATATACCGAATGACACATGCACATACTTAATCGCAATGCAACACTCCAATTCCATCTCAGTGGTGCACAAAGACTGAATTGAAAAAGACTGAAGCGAGTAAGTCCCATTACTCTATCGCCTCCCTTTACTACAAGATAGTAGTTGCTTCAGATACATCCATCTCTAACACTCATCGTTCACTCTTCATTACATAGTTCGCATCCTTACATCCCATACTAAAATGCAACGAATGCAAGTTTTCAACCTCATCTTGCAGACTGCTCGAGATGTGACATCCCATATGATAAATTCCTAAGTATATTGAGGAATTTTGTAGGTTTATTAGAAAATAAATGTGGTACAACACTCCATAAACAGAGGATATACTGAAACAAATAAAGCGCGAACAATGACCAACATCAAAAATAATAATTTCGACTTGAAACCGTAAAATATTTCGACAGTGTCGTCACTTATTACACTCCCAAAAATAAAAATTAAATGTTACCAACATACATTCTAATGGAAAAATATCAAGGAGAACTATGACAAAGAACGAGAAAGGAGAAGAATGAATCGAATTCGGGCCAAATGGAATGCCAAATGATGATATCCGAATAACATGACTACATTTCTTATCATTGAGAGCTTATTGGTGACTGAACACTTCTAACGAACAATGTGAGGAGTAACAAATAACTTTTCTAATAAGAGTAACAAAATAAGAAATTGCAATTAAAAGCAAATAAAAAATCCAAGTCAATTACTGTGAACACTATTTTTATAATTCAAACTTAAAATACTGGAAACTGCTTGTATCGACATCGTTTAGGAACGCGAACGACGTCTTCGATAGCTATCTACACTGCGACTTCGAGAACGATGCGGTGAGCGTCCTCTATAACTGTAAAAAGGCTCGGTACAAAAATTATTCCCAGAAGAAAATTCACGCTGCTCAAAACTAGTGCTTTTTTTCGTATTATAACGAAAAATGAGTGCAAGCTATCTATTAGCTTTAGAGGACTCAAAATATTTAAAATGCTGCAAAATAAACTTACTAACGCGGTGCCCCTTTCGTGACAGAAAAATCAACGCGAACACGCATCCCATCAATTACTGCATCGCGCAGATGATCCTTCGCCTTAATATTTGACTTGCTTGAATGATGTAGAGTCAAATTTCAAATAATTTTAATTTTCGACCCCATAATATATGAGACCGCTGTCATTCTAATGAACTAAAGAGCATTAGAAAAGAAAATTAAATTTGAAGACTATAAACTGACTCTTATTGCTTCTTTCGTAGTTTCGAAATAGACGAAACCAAATCCACGAGAACGCCCACTATAGCGATCGTATACAAGCTGAACTGACTCAATCTCGCCATATTCGCCGAAAATTCGTTTCAGATCACGTTCAGTAGTGTTCAGTGACATGCCAAAAACGCCAAGACACGAACAAGGCTCAGGATTGTCACGACCATCATTATACCGACTTCTTCTAATTGGTGAATAACGACTGATTCGTCTTGGTGAACGCGAACGTGTACGTCGACGTGAACGAGAACGACGACGAACTGGTGACGATGGCGAACGACTAAATAAATTTTTCTGTTACATGACGATACTACTTGCCTAATACTAATCATGCAAATCGGAAATAAATATGTCTAAAAAAGCACGAACATATACTTCATGTATCCTATATGTCCTTACGACTTTATCTTACTGTACAACTGTGCTGCTATGATACAGAATTTAAGTGCGCAAACGAATGTATTAAATATAATATTACTTTAATCTTGAGGCTTTTCTAGTCAATCCTAATGACGTAATCTAACCATCATTCCTCAGTAATGATGAGCATTTAATTTAAAAAAACTTGATAACAATAAGCATAGCCTCAAACTGTTCATTTTCAGAAAAAATTTGGAAAAAACACTAATCATGACTACAAAAATGTCATTGCTCCAGTGCTGAATTTACACCTATTCCCATATTATAAAGTACAAAATGTCACGTGACGCAGGCAGTAAATAAGATGCCGGAAACCAGCACAACCTTTTACTTTTTGTTTCTTATCCATTTGCGGTTCAAATCCCTTTTTATAAACAATTCTGATTGCATCATTTTAGACCACTAGTACCACTGAACATTTTGTAAAATTAGTAAACACATCAAATACTCAACAGCTCCCAACAAAGGACCAACTATGCAAACAGACATTATGCCACGGGCCTATTATTCATAGAACCTAAACTATTCAATCTGTCTGAGGTGGAACTGAGAAACAAAAACTTTGAAATATTGAAATCTCCCAGACAAGTCTGTTATTTATTTCCGAAAGAGGAGAAACAGCAAGTGAGGACAGTACGTGATGAGTCCTTAATTTCAAATCAGAGTTCGGAAAAAGGATAGGTCATTAGGATGCTCATTTTCGGCATTATAAATACCACAACTGACTGTCGGTGGTGGTTCATGTTGGGTATTTGAGAATGGATGCTGGATTGGTTGGAATCTGACAGCCAACTCTGAGCTTGAAACTGTGATGTTCCACTCTGAGCGCTGACAATACTGAACTGCCTGCCTCACTGATTCATTGATTGTTTTCATTGAGACTGATTTTTGAATTCTGTTCGTTCACAGCATTTCAGCTGTTCTGATTTTCTCACTGCCAAAAGTATCAATTAACAATAAAACATTTAACTTGGTTCCAGCTCCGCTCGACATGCTGATTAATTTCAGCTAATTTCATAAAAGTTGCAATTATGATAAAAGATAACTTTACGATAAGGAAAGAAAGGCCGATAAAACACTTCAACATTGACGGTACCTTCGTCGACGGTATCTCGAATCACGGCTCCGAGATCGGTACCGTTTTCTTTCCTCGGGTGAGCGTGATCGTCGAACTCGGCGTTCCTCGCGTGATTTTGAGCGTGCACGTGTGGGTGACGTCGAAACTTCACGCCCAGCGGATGATCGTGATGCAGCCGAATGTTCACGGACTGGAGAATGAGATAGTGAATGGTGAGACAATGAACGCAGTGGAGAACCTGAAGGAGATCGTGCATGGCCATTACTCTTACCAGAAGCGACTGGTGTTATGCTTCGGCTTCGAGATGCACTATGTGCTTGAATGGATCCACTACGCTAAAAAAATGATCAATGAAGGCCACACATTAACAGCTACATTCCTTATTCTTAATCAGACCGCGTAATTTCAAACGTCTTTCAGTGCCCTTCCTTTATATGCAAAAATGTGTCGAAATCTGTTACATATAAAATACCATAAATGATCTTACGTTTTCATCACTACTCATCGTGTGAAGCGTTCCTTAAAAAATAATATAGCAAGTTAGTTGAATATCGCGAAATGTACCAGATTTTACTCTGAGTTAATAGAGATAGAACTTGCGAGCCAAACTCCTAATTTCTGGCGTGTACCTAAAAATCGTCAACATGAGAGGAACACAAAGAATTGGAATCTGAACATATAACTGACCACAAGTAAATTATACAAATATTAACCAGATGCACTGCGTCTACAATACCTGATACATGACCACACACACTGCAAAACACATTGACACAGCCAACGCTCACAAACACAACACTGCAACTAAGCACTCCTCGCTCACCGGGACAAGTAGGCCTCAGCAACGTAACACAGGCAGACGTCTGATAACTCGCCATGAAACGTTACATCCCAATTGAGGGTAAATAGTTTCTTCGAAGCATATATTTCATGTTCTAAGTGTAGCAGTCCTGAGCAAGAGGTGCATACATCGTGAGAGTTTTTGCAAAAGAAATCAAGCGGAGCCTTTAAACAGGAGAAAAATGCTGGCTATTATCTTAAATATGTCAGTTGCTTTGTGTATACCTTATATTGAGAATAGAATTCAGACCAAAAATTGGTACTTCATGAATGCATGGGATCTGCATTTGGTCTTTATGATGTAACTAGACATATGGACAGCACATATTCTATAACCATTTAGTCTCAGAGCAGTAGTTTTTTGAATTTTATTTGCACATGTTAGACCGTATTATTTGGAGGACTCTCGGAACGATTGATGATTTGATTAGCAACGACAAAAGGGTTCATCACCGATAAATTTTATCAATTACATGAACTTGCTCACAGCATTATAAATGCAGACGACACATGATATTTTTTAATTTTCAACGAGATCAAGAGTTACCGATCAAGTACAATAACAAGAAAATTGATTCCATATACATACATATCCATATATATATATATATATATATATATATATATATA